AATAATAATTCGTCGCTGAACGTAATGATCCATGGCAATGTTACTTGTGCGGTCTTTTTGAAAACTCAATTGATTGTGAAAATTTCAAGACAGTTATAAAAAAAGGAATTAATAAAAATGTCATATTTACGTCATAAGCTTAATCAATTATGCATATTCATCTTAATGATAAACACGCTTGATTAATTTAGACTATTTTCCGCTAAATAAATTTTACTTCCCGACGCTTTTTACCCCATACCAGGAACGGAGTACAAAGTACGTAGAGGTTTACAGGCATTTAAAATGGTGTGTCTCTTTTGTGTCTGATTGGTTAATCTATTCATGTGGCTTCATATTGTATTTCTATATTTGTACATACTCTATGGGGCTTGGTCTACTGTATCGCATGTTTGTAATCAGAGAATATTCTAGACTATTACAGTATGATATTCAATTCTGTGTCTGTAAGATAGGTTAGTCATGGCAAAAAAATGCGAGATCACAAGATCAATGATCTTTTCGTGCGGAGTGATGGTAATCACGTGATCAAAAGGTGAAGCAGCCACCACAACCGCCAAGGTGTATCACGAATACCGATCACCGAAAAGGGTATGCGATTGAAGGATTGAAATCATATGCGAAATGCAACAGAATATGCTAGCTTAACGTAATGTATGCGGACGCCATACAACTGGAAATTGGCAGGTTGAAAATTCGTATTTATAATCAAAGGCATGTCGTTGGTATCGAACCCTTAACGATCGAAGATTTCTCGTTAGCATAGAAAGAGAAACGGAAATGTCTGATGAACCAAGCGAACCAACACCAGAAATAGATCCACACATCAAGGCTTTTATTGAAAATGCATGTCAAGCAACCATAACGACATTAGTCGAAAAAGTCAAAGATATAATGAACCAACAAGCAGAAACTCAAAGATGTTGGAATGAACAGTTGCAAAAAACAATAGATGAACATTTCAGTAAGCTAGAACAGGTTGGTTTGGTTTTCAATGGTGAAAGCTTAAACGTCAATAGCATGGCTGCTGAAGAGGAACGACCCAACCAGATGACCCGGCAACGATATGTTCAAACTCAGAAACGAGAGATGACTTACCTCAAGGTAATTATCCACCAACCCCTGTTCTTAACAACATGATAATTGACACGGTTCTTCCGGAGACAACAACATGTACAAGGAATGAGTTATTAGTAACAAGGAATAAAGCCCGAAGATATCCGTCGATAAACTACACAAAACTTAAGCAATTACCAGTAGTAAGAGATTTTACAAACCCATTAGCGGCTAGCATTGAGAGCAAGAGACTTTGGTGGGTTTCTAACTGGTCAGAAGGACAAAAGGTGATCAAAATGCTACCCTGTAAACCTAATCTATCATCTCGGCTATGGAAGTCAATTGCACTCGGAGCATATGTTAATCTACAAGAATTTGCCTACAAGAACATAAGGGCTAGTGCTAAGTTCCACCATGAAGAATTACCACTTCAGGCATCAGAAGGAGGGTACATAACCATTCGGAAACGACCAACATACAGCAAGTTTAACGATATAGCAGAATAGTTACTAGCATTCGGGTCATACATGGAAGTAGTGTTGATAATATATAAAGAGAGAGAAGCAGAACTGAATTTCTACCGTAATCATATCAGCAATCTCTGCATTAAACATGAATTTCCGGCAGTGATAGCATACGATGAAGATCGCCGTTTAGCTTTAGCAATAGACCGAGATATAACTCTATTCGATAAGAACATTGAGGCTGAAGGTGAAAATTTTGATGCAACAACCACCAAACGGACGAAAATTAGCAGGCCACACATACCAAGAAGTGATACAATGTGGCATGACAGCAGAGAAATCTGCATAAACTGGAATCGCAGAAGCTGCAATGATGACAGGAAATGTGGGCGAGTTCATGCTGCAAAAGGATTGGTCATCAGGAACGAAGATGTTACAACAATTCGGGAATTAGCCCTAGGCCTAGACAAAATGAAAATGCAGAGAATAATAATAGTTAGAAATAACGATAGCAACAAATTAATAAGACAATAGAGGTTTTTTTTTAAAAAAAAAAAAAAAACTGAATAAATAATACGGGTTTCGGTGCAAATATAAATGCATTATAGTCTATTGCAAATAAAGTTGTTTCTTTAAATATTTTTTCAGACACTTACTAATAATTGCGTGTAATAATAAAAAAAAAAAAAAAAGTAGTGAGAAGTGACTAATAATCGTCTAATAAAATTGGATAGATGACAAAAACAAAAGAGTATTTTGACATTCTGCCCAGTACAAACTGTCCCGGAATATCACAACATGTGATCCACCGATACTCCAATCGGTAAATGAGACACTGTCTAGCATTCCGCCACGTGACATACCTCTTACAGAAGAAGAAACCAAGATACTTATGCAAATCGATCCTGCTAAATTTAATACGGAGACTACAATAGATGTTCAAGCTTTTAGGGCACTAACAAGTCGGCATCCTAATCGCCCCTTTATAGAGTATTTAATTAAAGGAATGTCTGAAGGTTTTAGGTTTAATTTCACAGGTACACAGGTTAGAAGAATCCAAGATAATCTAAAATCGATTGAACTAGACCCCGCATCCTTCAGAAGCTACATTAAAGATGAAGTTGAGTAAGGGCGGATGTGCGGACCATTTTTGGCAGAACAACCACCATGCGATTTATTTCAGGTGAACCCATGTGGGCTTGTTGAGAAGAAGGGCACGAACTTGAAAACATTCCGAGTCATATCACACTTGTCAGCACCTTTTGGCTCTTGTGTGAATGACGGAATAGACTGTGTAGAATTTATGACAAAATATGAAAACGTGAGTCATGCGATAAGGTGGATCAATGCATATGGCAGAGGGTGTGTGCTATCCAAGATTGATATTAAGGATGCATACAGAATACTTCCAGTTCACCCTGTGGACCAGGTTCTGCAAGGAATGAAGTTTGGCAATGAGATATACTTTGATAAAGCCTTGGCTTTTGGGAATAGAGCTTCGGGGCATTTTTTGTAGGTTTGCTGATGTAGTCACGTGGATAGCTACACAACAAGGTATCAATTCGATAATCCACTATGTGGACGATTTTTTAATCATATCTAAGAGTGATGGTCAAAGAGAGCTTCAGCAATTCCTGAGGATATTGAACATATTAAAAGTGCCTTTTAAAGAATCAAAGTTAGAAGGGCCCAGTACTTGCATTACGTTTCTAGATATTATGATAAATACAGAAACGATGTCCATATTAATTCCCCCTCAAAAAAGACAGAAGATACAAGAGTTGCTGAATGACTGAGCCAACAAAAAATGGTGTTATAAAAAGGACTTGCAATCTCTTGTTGGCTCCTTAGTATGGATGTGCCAAGTTCTTCCTCACGGAAGACCATTCATTCAGCATTTTATAAAAGCGCAGGAAGCAGTTAAAAACCAGAGGCACCATGTAAGAATTACGAAACAAATGATCTCAGATATCCAATGGTGGCAAATATAATTGAGAAGTGGCCAGGCACGTATCTAATGGAGGATTAGTTATGGCAACAGCCAGATATATACAACCTGTACACAGATGCATCAAACATTGGAGGCGGCGCAACTTTTGAAGCCTATTTTACAGCATTTCGATGGTCCAATCATGATGTCAACATCAATCATGATATTCAGGAACGGGAGCTTTTAACAACCCTAATAGCAATTCGTACGTTCTCACCTCTATGGGCCAGAAGGAAGCACAGACAACATGGCCAATGCAGAAGCTTATTACTCAGGCTTTTGTAAAAACCCACAAGTCAATAAGATCATCGCGCAAATATACGAAATACAGATTCAAATGAATTTTTCTCTAAGAATAGAACACATACCAGGGAAGCAGAACACAGATGCAGATCTACTATCAAGAAGCGGACATAAAGAATATTTAACCAAGAACCCCACAGCACGTTTACTTCAACCCAGCATCCCTCAGGAATATACTAATATTATTTCTCTTATTCTATCATTACTACAATAGAACCTTCCAATCATCAACAAAAGAGACAGAGACCTACGGCTATGAGCAATACAAGGAGCGGTCAACACCAAGTGTTAGCAAATTTTAATGGAAACACTCCACTAGACCAACAGGTAGCCAACATCCTAGATACCAATCCACCTAGGCACAAAACATATGAGACAGTCATCAAGCGTTATCAAGTATTGGCAAATGAGCATCATTGGCAAAATGAAGATGGCAGTATATGCCCATATCAAAAAGCTCGTTAATCAAGTTCATCAAATCGATAAGTAGTGATGTATCTCCTCCAACAATTACTTCTTACTTATCAGCATTAAAATTCCACCACACCAGAAACTCAGTTGACTGGACACCAGTACGGTACGACCCTTTGATAAAGGAGATACTCAAAATGATTGAGGCGAACCACAAACACAGCCCAGTAAAACAGAAAATGCACATTACAAGAGCACACTTGGATCAGATAAGGTGCAGTTTAAATTTCAAGGAATCAGACGACCTATTGTTTTGGGCAGTGGCATTAACGGCTTTTTATGGACTGGCACGCCCTTCCGGACTGTAAATCGGATGGAGGCAAGGTACCCCCCTGAAAGCATTAAGGTTCGAAAACACCAACTCTGCAACATTCGCAACAATTCAGCTTGCAAGAACCAAGAACCATAGATCGGCAGTGAGAACAACATTGATCATAAGCCCGACCAATGACAGACTGTGCCCAATCAGATCGCTCAAAGCTTACACAGTCCGACATACCAACCCATCCTACGCACCAGGAAACAACACTCTATTTATAAAGCCAAATGGCTCATGGGCCACCAAAAGGTGGTTCTGCAAAAAGCTGCAATCAATCCTGCCTGATGCTGACGTCTCGGGCTATAGTTTTAGGGCAGGGGGCACCACAGAGCTGGTACTTCGAGGAGTGCAACCAGTGATGATTCAAAAAATCGGCAGGTGGGAATCAGACGCATTCTATAGATACATCCGGGCACATCCCACCATGGTGACACACATACTTATGAAAGCATATAACGTCTAGACTCTTAAATTAAATATTGGAACGAAATCAGTCTTGCCGTTATATGTAAAGGCCAAAAAAAAAAAAAAAAAAAAAAAGGGGGGAAACATCGTATATAGGTAAATAAAATAAATGCAAAATGAATAAATAAATATATACTAAGAAAGGGTTCAAATAATGACAAACAAATGAAGCAGTTGACCAGTAAAAGAATAGCAGTTGTACTTCCAAAAAAAAAAAAAAAAGAAAAAAAAAAAAGAAAAACAAAAAACAAATACACGTAAACGAACGAAACGGGAAAGGAGAGAACAAAACACACGGGAACGGTAGAATCCAAAATATTGGATGATACGTGATTTTACCATTTCTCTACCCGCACATGTTTTATTTCTCTCCTGTTTCTTTGCTCACAGCCGGCGGGAAACCACCGGCTAGCTAATCCTACGGCGACTCTCAGCGCAACAATTGTTGCAATCTTCTCGGGATGTCATTGCTGTTCTGGCCAACCTCAGCCATTCACTCGCTTCGTTATTATCATGTACTAAGCATTGTTCAATCGTCTCAATTAAATTATCTCCGGCCTAAGTAATGATCGCTGGCATAGCCAAAAAAAAAAAATCGGGATGTGTAATGCGATACATTTCGTGCAGAGTGGTGGTAATCACGTGATCGAAAGGTGAAGCAGCCCATGGCCGTGCCACCACAACCGCCAAGGTGTATCACGAATACCGATCACCGAAAAGAGTATGCGATTGAAGGATTGAAATCATATGCGAAATGCAACAGAATATGCTAGCTTAACGTAATGTATGCGGACGCCATACAACTGGAAATTGGCAGGTTGAGATGACACGTGATCCTACCATTTCTCTATCTGCACATGTTTTATTTCTCTCCCGTTTCTCTGCTCACAGCCGGCCTGCTTCAGCAGGTGGGAAACCACCGGCTAGCTAATCCTACGGCGACTCCCAGTACAACAATTATTGCAATCTTCTCGGGATGTCATTGCCGTTCTGGCCAACCTCGGCCATTCACTCACTTCGTTATTATCATGTACTAAGTATTTTTCAATCATCTCAATAAAATCATCTCCGGCCTAAGTAATGATCGCCGGCATAGCCAAAAAAAAAAAAAAAAAAATCGGGATGTGTAATGCGATACGTTTCGGCCACTTTAACATAGCTTAAATAAATTATAATTCATTATTAAAAATTATAAATAAATTACCGGACGATCAAGATACACAATTGTAAAATTACGGCGATCGTTTGGTCTTGTGATCTCAACATTTTTTTTTGCCATAACTAACCTATTTGGGTCAGTATGTTCTGTGTCATTTCACAATTTAAGTTAATTACAAATTGACCTAAATCATTTTTAAATTTTGAAATGACATACGTTATTTCTTAATCGGTGAAAACATAAATTTATATGACTAGATAATAAAGAATTATATCCTTTTGCATAAATAAATATGCCATAGAAAATTTACACAAATTTTACATATAAAATTAAAAAAAATGTAAAATTTGCATAAATTGCTGCTATATTAAAAACGAAATGCTTCATAAAACTTAAATAAGAAAAAAAATCATGTATCATAAAAAAAATAAAAATAAGGCATATAAAAAATTCGCATAACTAAAAATTACATAAATCTGAAAGAGAATCATCGATTTTGCATTCACCATGTAGAACAAATCCATATCGTCATGTACATAACAAGTTATTTTTTTGGTAGAAATCTTTTGTGGAATAAAACAATATCTTATATGAATCTTTTTTATGTTATTAAAAAGAAAAGTAAGTATATAATAAAACAAACTAAAAACCAAAAAAAAACCTTTTGTCTTGACCAGTATGTTCTGCTGCTTGTGTGCAATACAAATTATCTTATAAAAATTTTTCAGTTGATCAAACTTGTGCACCAGGTTATTTTCAGATGGCTTAATTATATCAATTTCTTTAGTCATATCAACATAAAGAATTTTAAAATTATGTCAACCAATATTTAAAAATTGGGTTTTGTAAATTGTTTGTCATTAAACATTATTATGATCTATTAAACTACATTTGTTTTTCATTTGAAGAATAAAATTTTTAATATTTGATCAAAGGTTTCATGCACCAGGAAGTTGTATTGTTCCATTTTTAAAATTAATAAGAAAGATTTATTTAAAATTAAATATTCAAAGACTATTTTTTTTAAAAATATTAAATAATATGGCATACGTAATACATTTGTAGTATAATAAATTAATATGTGATTCGGAGATCTAATTTGAGATAAAAATTGAAGTTATTCTTCTATTTGTCAAATGCCATCATTAAAATTTATAAAAAAATAAAAATAGAGATGGGAAAAATGTGCATTTTATAATAACATGCGCATGTATGCACATTAATGTGCACATTATATAAAATGCGTATAATATTGCATAATATAATTTTTTTGATTTTATATTTTCCCTCTGGAAAATATCAGATATTTGTCAAAATTTTTTCCCATCTCTTTTCATCTTTATGTTTATTCATTTTCTTTTCAAAATTTTTCAAAACTTCTGCGTTTGAATTTCTTAATTTTGACTGGCATTATACACCTTGGCCTAAATTAAATATACTTTAATTTTCCTATATAAAATTTAGATAGGATAAAATGCGCATGATTGAGGAATATGCACATGCATGAAACCAGTGTTGGAAATCTGTTTTGAGATCATGAGAACATATTTATTTGATTTAATGTTCTCAAAATTTTATTTATATTCTCAATATTTAACTGCTAAAATTTATTGATATCACAGTTTTCGGAAATTATTAGACATTTGTTTTAGTTTTTATCCCAACCCTTCTTGTATTTTAAGTTCATTCATTTACCTTTTGGGTAAATTCAGAAATTTCTATTCTATCTGGAATTTTGTTATTATACTTAGAGAACAAGCCTTTTCAGATCATGTTCTCAATTTTTTTAATAGAGAACATATACAGAATATCAAATATTCTCAAATCTAAAAGGATGTTCTTATGAGAACATGAGAACATAAGATTTCCAACACTGTATGAAACCTATCTTTAGGTGTGGCCAATTATCCTATGTGACAAGTTAGCACCAGTGCACATGTAGCATTAAGAATTGATCCAAGTTATTTCTAAATCAGTGAAAATTTAAGAATGACAGGTCAATTCATATGACCTAAATTGTGAAATGATATCAAACATGTACACATTAACATTTTGATTGGTCATAACTGAAAATGTGACCTGAATATGAAAAACTTACATAGAAATATGAAAATAATTATGATGATTATCTAATTATTACAACTTTCTTGTGATCATTGTGACATTTTGATAATGTTATCATGAATTGATCATCAATGCGTAAAATTGAGATAACTCTTTGTTGTATAATTTTAAATCAAGTTTCATGTATTATTTATTCAATATTAGCTAGAATATAAATAATAATATTAATAAAATGCAGTAGTAACTCTGTATATCATGAAATAATAAGTTTTTTACAGAATTTTCACATAATTTAAAAATTACAATAATTTCAATACAAACTAATTCAACCCTCACTACAATGTGTTACTGAAATAGCAATTATTTTTTGCAATATAAATTACAAACAACCTTAATCATTGTATTTTACATTAGTATCAAAGTTCTGTGACAGGATTTTTAACAATAACTCAACAGATTTTAACTGCATATAGTGTTTCACTAAAACAGCGAGTAAGTTTTAAAATAGAATTTTTTACAGAAATTCATGATAATTCAATGCAAACTAACTTGACTTAACTAAATATTGTGAATACTAAAATAGCAAGTATTTTGTAACAGGATGCCTTATTGCAATAGCTCAACCTTAATTGCATACTATGTGTATTGGAATATCAAGTTGTATTAGAATTTTTTACAGTAATACTAATACAAGTTAATTCAACTTTAACTACATGCTATGATCTTTGGATAGTAAGATCATATAATAACTTTTTATATCAGATCATAGATAATCTCAATGTATATATTTGTCATCAAAATAGTAAGTTCTGTTTACAGTAACTCACAATAAAAATTATGATTACAATACAACTTTAACTACACATTATGTATTGCAGGTTTTATTATAGTAACTTAGTAAAAATTATACAACTTAACCACATACTATATACTACTGGAATGAGTAAATTTTTTACCAAAATTTTTTACAATAATTTCAATACAAACTAACTCAACCTTATAACAATTATAGCACAAACTAACTCAGCCTTAATTATATAATATGTCTACTAGAATAGAAAGTATATTCCATACAGTAACTTACAATAAAAATTATATTAATTCTAATACAAAGCTAATCAACCTTAATTACTAGAATTTTTACAATATATCACAATAAAATTTTTATAATTAAATACTTGGTTTGAAAGTTTAAAAGTTTTAATTTGTTGAAGTATTCAAGATATGTAATTAACCTTATTTTTATTATTATGACTTAGTATGTGTATAAACTTTTATTAATCAAAGTTAATAATTTATTTAATTTCAAGATTATTTACTGAAAATTTCAAGAAATAAATATTGCTATTAGGATATCAACCTAATATCTCCATTAGCAGTACACACTTTCCAAATAACCACTATTTTGAAAGTTAAAAGTAGTCTAATATGAAGTAAGAGTTATATATAACTATTTTATTAATATTATATGATCTATGCTTAATGAAAATTATAAATTCCTGATCAAGCTCTTTAAATTTTTACAAAACTGTTGCAGAGTCATGGGTAGGGTGCTAGAATAATAAATTTCTTTCTATAGAAATCTATTTAAAAGTTAAACTTTACTATATTATCATGGCTCTTAAACCTATGATAAAAATATAAAATTATTTTTAATTTATTTTGTTTTTGTTCACTGTTCTGACTATACAGCCTTCTGGTTTGTTGATCTGATTTATTTTTACTTAACTTGTATAAAAGAGGCTTATAACAGTTTAATTTGTTAAATATATAATTTTATCATTACATAAGCTTAAATTTATTCAATAATTACTAATTTAATTTAAACTCTCACATATTTGTTAGCTAACCTTGAAATTAATTTTAACTATAAATTTATTATATTTTCATATTTTATAAAATTTTGTCTCTCCATATTCATCCACTATAGCTATCCTAAGTTTAATAATTCAAAGATACAGTATATATTTTTAAAGTATATGCTTAAGAATTTGCCTTTTATTACTTTACTAACCTGCTTACTGTTATTAATACAGTATAAATTATAACCACCTGATTCTCTGGTTTTTAATACTTTATGCTTGATTATAAATTTATACTTAACTAGCTCTTATGCATTTTTATATACAGTATATTTCATTTATTGTATGTTTATTCTTAAATCTATTTATATGCCATATCATGATGGTTCAAATTGATTTTGTATTTAATAATAATTTATTACCATTACCTTACTGTTTTAATGTATTTAAACTAGCATGCAAATGACTTTGCTAAATGTTCCAATTAACTAAACAACACCAATTTTATATAATCAATATAAATTTCAATAAATTTCATCAGGCAAATTGGATTTCATGTAGTTTAACATTAAATCAATACAGGCAAAAGTTAATAAGAAACACAATACCATTTTGAATACCTACTTACCAAATCAAATAAAAACAATTTGCTAATTTAAAAAATAAGAAGTAATTAATACAGTATAAATTATTTATTTTAAATATACCAATTGACAAATGTTCATTATATCATTTGTTACTTTGAATAAACAAATAAAAACAAAAGCAAGGAATTTATTAGAAAGAGACCACATACATACAAGAATGCTACATCTATACTAATTTACTAATACTAATCTGTCTATGTCATATAGAGTCTGACTAAAAAACGTAATAGTATCCGACTTAATGTATATTATTCTAAGATTAAAGTTGAAATTGAACCTAGTAAAAGTTAATAAAATTGATAAAATTAAATATAGAAGCAAATATAAATTTATGCCAAAACTAGTTTAACCTGTAACTCTCTGAAAATCTACCTTCCGTTCCTGGTTTTGTGTGACAACGTCGCGCAGCTACTTATACTATAATCGGAAATTCATGGCATTCCACTTCTATATAAGGTAATTAGTAAAACTGCGCCGATTTTTACTATGAAATTTTCTTACCCTTTAAATGCAGACTACCCCTTAAAATAAAGCCAATTGATAAAAATTAGTTCTAATTTCATCAAAATTTCAAGATAAATAGAATATTACATTACAAATAAACTTTAAGTTCGACTGGTTTAAAAGTCTGATGTGATCGTCAAGCAGATACGCATTATCGATCACAAAAAATTTGACCGTGTACCGTTCCTAGTGAGAACAAGTCTTTTGGTTTTAAATACCAAAGAACGACTATTAATAATTCCATTCCAAAATAATAACTTTAAATGATTCAAATCATTATCTGAATTCAAATCTTATACTATATCTATTGAAGATGATAGAACTTAATCATGAGAGACACGGACATTATAACGCAAAATTTTCCAAAAAAACGTGGTTCAAGCATTTTTTAGAACGAAGTAATAGAATAAAGTTTTAAACATTTATCGAATTAATTACAATCAAATAATTAATATATTAATAGAAACTTTTATTATAAATCTGAACCGAATACGTAGCATGCAACTTTAAAATTTTATGCATGAAAATAAATTGTAAAATAAATAGCTTTAACTTTAATTGTTTATTAAGTAAAACCTTTAAATTAAAATTTGAAAATCTTCAAATAAATAAATAACATTAGAATTTTAAAACCTTTAAATTAAAAATTAAAAATCTTTCAAATAAATAAATAACATTATAATTTTAAGAGTTTATATTTGTTAATATTAATAATTAAAGATTTTGAATTATTAGGTTTAAAAAAGGTATAACAATATAAAGTTACTAATATAAAAGAGGACATAATAATTATCTGACAATTAAACTTTGTTTTCAGAGTTTTAAGAGTCTTTAGAATCTTCAGAGTCTTCAGAATCTTTGGGGTCTTTGTCGTTTTTTGGAGCTTTTAGAGGCAGAGAAATACCAATATTCAGTATCATAATCACTACGATATAATGTTCCATTTGAATAAGTTGTTCCGCCTGTTTATATGTGAATTTAGTGGATTAAAAACTATTTAAAAAAATGAATCATAAAATAAAATAAATAAAATAAACAATTACATTGTGCTGCTGGAGGAGCGACGCCACCTTTAGTATTAATTCGAAGAACATAAGAAATATCATCAAATGCTCCTTTTCCTTGATTAGACTATTTTATAAATTATATTAATAAATTTAAAGATATATTTAATATATTAAACGTGAATTTAAATAAATTACTAACAGTAGCTTGGGTTTTAAGCCATGGAATATTTTCAGAGCCATCGGGAGAAGATGATTGTGCGATTAATTTCGCAATAACTAATGAGTTATCATTTTTAACAAGGGATTGCCAAGTAATTCTACCACCATTTACGGCTAATAATATCAATAATTTTACAATAAATTAGTAATATTATATAAAAATGTTTATTCGATGTAAACACAGACTTACGCGTTTGTTGGAAATAATGATGCGCAACTTCATATTTAGGAGTAAAAGTCTCGGTTTTTTTATCATTAATTAAATAAGCGTCCGGACCAACTTTAAATTAATATTAAATGAGAACGTTAATATAATTCAAAATTTAATATTCATCAATAAATGCTATTATCATACCTTGTGACCATGAACCTGAATTTCCATTAGTAATACATTGATATATTTGAACACCACAACCATAAAGTAAAAATTTAAAACAGTTTCCGGAAGGTACAGTAAGATTTGCTGGAATTGGAGTATCAGGTTGTTCTAAAAAGTCATAATTCATTTCATTAAGGCTAATTAAAATCGTGACGCGCGAATTATATGCTATAAATAAATAATTACTTGTAATGGTTCCAATTTTTTTTACAGTTGGATATGTTTGGTTATGGTTATTCGCATTAACAAAAATATTCAACGCGGTTAACCATAGCATACACAAAATTGTAAAATGATTAAAGTATTGCATCATTATTTTATAATTTTAGATAACGCGAAATTAAAATTTTAATTATAAGAGAACTAAGAAAATGAATCCTTTCGGAGTGATTAAAAAAAATGATAGAAGGATTATTAAATCCAAATTATAAAAATCGTACGATTTTTCTCTGAGGGATTCAAGAACTTAATCACACAGACACGATAAAATTTCAAAGGTTCAGTCTTTAAATAGGAAAAGGCTTTCTTTCATGATGCCTAAATTGCAGCATAGAAAAAAGTGACAAAGCATAATTTAATGAATTGCATAAAATCAAAGAATTGTATCTATTTAAATGAGGTTACATTAATATGATTATGCTTAAATGTGGGTTACGCTTGCAATTAAAGAAAATATATATGGCAAAAGACATCCATTTATGGTAAAAGACGTACACAGCGGACTGCATATACCTGATATGTCGAAATGATTCTATATTAGTCAGACCTCTCTAAATGCACCATCCGTAAGCGATACACTCTCTAAATGCATGCTCAAGTACTGGCCCAAATATATACCTGACCTCTATAAATGCAATTTTTCTCATTATTCTCTATATGCACGTTATTAAAGTGTGGTCCAAAGGCGAACATTTAGAGAGATCTAACTGTAACATTAATTAATAATAGATTGTTGATTGGGTTATTCCATATATTAAAAATTAGAAATAAATTCTTATATAATTTGCTTAAAATAAAAACTCTTGGAATGAATTCTTACTGCCTGATTAATGTCGAGATCATTCGGGCCATTATTCGATCTGCGTATGAAAATCCAATTTTGTATAATAAAATCATCTAAAAATCATTGTTTCTTTTTTATTTTGTTTATATTTTTATTTATATTTATACATATATTTTCTTTTAAATTGCATATAACCTTTCTTACAAGTCAGCTTATCAAAGATCTATTATTTACTTCCTTTTTAATGTTTTTTTTTTTGTCAGGTAATTAACCAAAAAACTATAGTTCCGATGGTTTTATGATATTTATTTTTTTTGTATCTGATTTTAAGCTGATTACTAACCGATTATTATCCGATAGATGTCGATTTTTATTGCAACAAAAAATTGACATTAATTCGGGTAGTACAGAGAGACCTCTTAAAATGCACCCCTCTCGGGACCATTCAAAAAAAAGTGCACTTAGAGGGCATGCATCTATAGATAGTGAGGCCAGACTATACTGTGCATTTTAAAGAAATTTACATAGAGCGTTGTTTATAAAAGGAGCATTTTTTCTGTAATCAGCTTTAAATCAGACACCTGATTTCTACCTGACTTGCCAGTGTCGAGGCAGATAATTTTCCGCAGTAATATTATCTATTTTGATTTCTACCCGATTTGCCATAATTCGACCTGTGCGAGTCAAAATTAGAATAAAGATAGCACCAGGTATGGTTCTACAAATAATTAATTTATCAGAACAAGAAAGGCAATTCATAGAAAAGATCCGGTTTTTAGAAGTTCATAGTGCGAATTAATAGATATTTGGAATTTTCCGTGTTTATCAATTTTACAAATTAAACTAACAAAGGCTTTTTATGCATATTTCCCAAGTAGTACATACGTACGCCTTTTAATAAACTTTGAATTGATGACGGGTATGACAGGATTAGTGGCGCCACAAAATATCCAATCAAATTGCGTCCAATCCAAATTACTTCATTTAGGTGAGATAACTTAAGCGCAGTGTTAGGGCTTGGCAATATGGTACGTACGTACGTACAACTTGGGAAAGATACAGCCTTTAACGGATAGTTTGTTAAACAAATTTGTAAAACATTCAATGTGGTTTAAATTTCAAGTTTATTAAAAAGCGTACGTACGTACGTACGTATATTAAAATTCCATAAAGATTACTTTAAATGTTTACAGCACGATTCCCCGAAAGTTATTTACCCCAACTCAGTTCCTAATGCCAACATGATATTTCATCTACAGCACATTTTTTGATAAGACATGTTTTACATTACATTTTTTCGACAATTCTTTTCTTAGATAAGACATTCCCCCGACAATAATTTCCCAACATATAATTCTAACCAACACTAATTCTACAGATGTTTTCAAAAAGATTTGGAAAATAATTTCCATATACCCATGTGGTGAATCGGAGGATATGGAATTATATAAAATTACAACATTTGGTCATAATCGATATCATAATTGGAAAATTAGTTTACTGTAATATATATTGTAGCATGTGAGAGTGATCAGATAATGCATAACGATAATGATCTTATATGAATTTCAAAATGGCAATGCCGCAAAAAATTGGCAGTCCCGTGACTAATCCAACAGCGAGCAATCCAATTTTCATCTATCAGTATTTGCGTTAATAATTAAATACGATGTATCTAGATTTTTGTGCTGAAGCCTTTGATTAATAACAAAAAAACTAGTTTTCATCACGAAATTATGAGTTTTTCGATTTTGTTTTTTTTTCGATTTTATTCTTTTACTTTAAATTTGTATGTTACACATTGATCTTGCAATCGAATCGGGTAAAAATCATGAGACTGCCAAAATTTTGCACCACAACTTTACTAAACTTCCAAAATTGTAAAAATTGTGGAATAATAGTTCACCGACCTTTGCTGACCCGATACTCAGAGCTAAGTGAATTATAGAATGTGAAAACTTATATGTATGATCGTGATAATTTATAGTTCGCTCTACTCTGGAGGCTTTGAAATTTGATTTATATTTGCGCATTATGCGAACTTACATATCTTTACCGTTCTAAACTGGGATATGGATGAAGTTAATAATATGTGCCTCGCAGTCGAAATTATAGCAGATCAGTATAGTACAGGCCAATTTTTAAAAGTATGCTGGTATAGTTAAAAATCGGCCTATACTATACTAATCTGCCCACCTATACTATACTGATCTGCAAAATACTTCTCACAGTCCATTTACCAGGAACGGAGTGATATGCAATATCACGAAGTATATGGTTACTATAGCAAGTTAAGTGGTTTGCGTCCGAAAAATCCTATAAGTAATTGGATAATGCATTAGATGCAAATGATAACGTGAATTTCTGCACCTAAACATCACGATATACAACACATTATATATTGCTCTGGCAGGTTTTTGTCTCGACTAAAATGCATCACGAACATTTATGTGTTTTTTTTATTGCTTTTCAGAATTGCATTAATTGAGGATGCTGAACCTGATAGGCTGAAATCAGTTCATATGACTCTTGTCACACAATATCAAAATACCGTTATCTAGATAATAGATCAGATTACTTATAAAATTAAACTGTGATCAAGCTGGATATCCGGTTTTTATCTATACAAGAAGGAATAAAGGTTGAATAATACTAACTGTGTATTTCAGTGACTCGTTCGTATTCGAGATAATTTAATGTGAGGGACATATTCGCATTAATTTAGTTGTTGAATTACGTTAGCAATTCAAGATCTTATCACTAATTCAATTTTTGCTTTTTAACTTATTATACCCAATTTAACCAAAATTAAGCATCCTTATAAAAAAAAAAAGATGCTTAATTTCAGAACGGTGTGGTATTTAAACTATACATTTTTTAATTTTTTTATTTGCATTTTATGATCATATCTAATGATTATTTAAGTGTTGTAAATCGAAAATTTGAGTTTTTGCCGTAACGAAATTAGCTCATAAAGAATTATAATTCGTTACATGTACTATAAATGTTAAATAACACTCATTATTTTAATATTTTTATTCAATTATCGTTATGTAAAATACCATATAAATAATAGAAACGACCAGGACATCATTTGTATTGTAATTATGAAATCTTAAATTTTTACTTTCGAGTTTTTACTCTGCAGCATATACAGTCGTACCTCTTTATAATCACACCTTTGGGACCATAGGACCTTTTTTAAAAAAATGTTCTTATAAAGAGGTGTGCTTATATAGAGGTCTTTTGTTATATATTAGATAGTAATTGGGCGAAGATATAGGTGTGATTATAAAAAGGTTTTTATGTGATGTGATTATATAGGGGTGATTATAAAGAGGTATGACTGTAATTATTAATCAAATCTTCAAATTTTTTTTCATATAGATTCAATAGTTAAGTATAATATGAGTTACAAAGTAACTTATTTCGAAAATAAGTGAGTTTAAAAATCACTAAATAAAGCATTCAAATATGAAGTTTAGATTTAAAGATCGCTCAATTAGAAATACGTAAATACGTCACTTATTTTATCCGAATCAGAGTAGTATCTTTAATTTTGAAAACTCACAATTATCTGAATTTAAAACTTACACCAAATCTATCGACGATAATGGAACTTAACATGAGATACACGGACATTATAGCGCAAATTTTTCCAAAAACGTGGTTCAAGCATCAATAAAACATTTTTAGAACAAAGTAATAGAATAAAGCCTTAAACATTTATCGAATTAATTACAATCAAATAATTAATATATTAATATAAACTTTATTATAAATCTGAAACGAATACGTAGCATGCAACTTTAAAATTATATGCATGAAAATAAATAGTAAAATAAATAGCTTTAACTTTAATTCTTTATTTTTTAAATTAAAAATTGAAAATCTTTCAAATAAATAAATAATACTACAATATTAAGAGCTTATAATTATTAAATATTAATAATTCAAGATTTTAAACTATTAGGTTTAAAAAAAGTATACCAATATAAAGTTATTAATATAGAATAGGACATAATAATATCTGACAACTAATTTTCAGAGTTTTCAGAGTCTTTAGAATCTTCAGAGTCTTCAGAATCTTTAGGGTCTTTGCAGTTTTTGGAGTTTTTAAAGGCAGAGAAATACCAATATTCAGTATCATAATTACTACGATATAATGTACCATTTGAATAAGTTGTTCCGCCTGTTTATATGTGAATTTAGTGGATTAAAAACCATTTAAAGAATGGTTTATAAAACAAAATCAATAAAATAAATATAATAAACAATTACATTGAGCTGCTGGAGGAGCGACGCCACCTTTAGAATTAATTCGAAGGACATAAGTAATATCATCAAATGCACCCTTTCCTTGATTTGACTATTTATAAATTGAATTAATAAGTTTAAAGATATATATATATATTAAACATGAATTTAAATAAAATACTAACAGTGGATTGAGTTTTAAGCCATGCAATATTTTCAGGGCCATCGGGGGAAGGTGATTGTGAGATTAATTTCGCAATAACTAATGGGGTATCATCTTTAACAAGAGATTGCCAAGTAATTCTACCACCATTTACGGCTAACAATATCAATAATTTTACAACAAATTAGTAATAGCATATAAAAATGTTTGTTTCGATGTAAACACAGACTTACGCGTTTGTTGGTAATAATGATGAGCAACTTCATATTTAGGAGTAAACTTTTCGGTTTTTTTATCATTAATTAAATAAGCGTTCGGACCAACTTTAAATTAATATTAAATGAGAACGTTTATATAATTCAAAATTTAATAATCATCAATAAAATGCTATTATCATACCTAGTGACCATGAACCTGAACTTCCATTAGTAACACATTGATATATTTGAACACCACAACCATAGAGTAAAAATTTAAAACAGTTTCCGGAAGGTACAGTAAGATTTGCTGGAATTGGAGTATCAGGTTGTTCTAAAAAGTC